AACAATGTAAATGAATTAATAAATGCAATCAAACATTTAAAAAAATTTTTTAAACACAACAAGGTTTGTTCGTTATTCGTAGAGGACAAATCAAATAAAATGAATGTGAAAACTGTTTTTTTTTTTTATAGATTCACACACATCGGATAATTATAAATAAAATAACAATAGTAGTAATATTTATGATAGGCTATTTGAACGCTTTTGAGTTTACGTATATTTTGAAGAATATCTTATATGTTTTTTATATATATATATAATTCACCACATAAATTGGCATATATTATAATACAAACAATTTGAGTAAAACCATATAAATTTTTTACGTAGCCTACCATTTTTTTTAAGCTATTTGCGCGTCCAGCAGGTGGAAGCGTTGCATTAAGATGAGCGAGAGAGAGAGAGAGAGAGAGAGAGAGAGAGAGAGAGAGAGAGCGAGAGAGAGAGTGGGTGTGGGCGAGAACTGAACTGACTCACCCTGCATGACTCTCTGTTCTCTCCTAAGAAAGTCTTTAAGTGCTGAAAGCTGTCGCTTCACCAGAGACAAATCACTTCAGGACCATTTAGAGATTGAAGCTCTGCTTCGCAGTAGGAGGAAAGAGAGGTGCTCTCACTAACCAGGTTTCCATCCACATATTTTTATGCAAATTTTGAGATACTGCATCAAAGATTGCTGTGTGGAGAAACTTATTTTATCAACTTTTCACTGAAAGTTTCTGCCGATCTATTCTTCTATAGCAATGTTAAAGAAGATTCCTAATTGAACCCTTTTGAAACCCAAATTTTTAAAAGTGCACAAAACAAAATAATAACCAAATTTGCATAAATGAACTAGGTCATATGTTTACATATACTTCGATTGTAATATTGTGTGTTGTTACCTTGATGATCAATGATTTGTTTTTTCTGTTAGTTTTTCATGAGTCCCTTGTTTGCCCTGAGCAGTTACATTGCCCACTTCAGAAAAATTCCTACAGGTCCTGCACATTCTGTTTTTTTGTTTGTTTAGTTTTTTTTTGTCATTTTTTGCATATTTGAACCCTTTCCAACAGTGACTGTATGATTTTGAGATCCATCTTTTGAGGAACTCATACACAACTATTACAAAAGGTGAAAACATTTACTGATGCTCAAGAAGGAAACGTGCGTGACACATTGCATTCGACTATATTTTATATATGCAATTTTGCTGCTGCTTATTTTTGACATCAATAATCTACATTTTTGTTTTGTTAAATTTTTTTATTTATTTAGTTAACGTTTTTTTTGTGTGTGTGTGACCTTGCAGACAGTCTATACATGAGTCTTGGCCGTGGTTTATGGACAGGCACCTTATGAAGAATTCTGTGGCTTTCTATTGTGCCACTTGAATTATTATTGGAGAAATCCAAGTATGTTTCTCAGTTGCATTTGTGTAACGCTGCATTCTTGAATAGATCCTTTGTGGGTGGAATAGGTCAGTGTGTGGAAGAGCTTGCAGTCACCCAAGGTTTCCGGTGACAGCTCTGGACAATATTCTCTGCTCTGTTTGCCTTGAAATGTCTGTCCAACTACCCACTGTACAGATCTATTCAAGTGTTTTTGACATGTTTGTGATAAATGAAATCCATTTTGTGTTGCGAGTCTCCTCCAGCTCAGAGCAGTATCATGGAAACAGAACAGGTCTGAGGATATCATGTAATATGAACATTGTGCTGTATTTTTTGCAGTATTCCTGGCTCTGCAGTGTGTGCTTTCGACATGGAGCAGCTGGCCGGAGTGTTTGATGGAAGATTTAAAGAGCAGAAATCGCCTGAGTCGATATGGACACCTGTTCCAGATGAGGTTGTGCCCAAACCGAGGTACTGAATTAAATGACATTTACAACTGTAGAGAGTGTTTTATGTCCTCAAATGCCAACCTGCAGAGAGGAAGTTTATAATAATGTGCTGTGTTTGTGAATTTCTCAGGCCGGGTGGTTGTGCCATACAAGGCTCAAAGTTCAATTCCTCCAACTCTTTCCCTGATGACATGTTAACTTTTGTCAAGACACATCCGCTGATGGATGAAGCCATCCCATCACTCGGTCAGAGACCATGGATTGTTAGGACCATGGTCAGGTGAGGACAACTTTCTCTCAGATGTCCTAGACCAGATTCTCTACTGTTAAAACCAGGTCATACATGCCTTCAAGACATGATATCTGGTTTGTCACTGGTCTAAAGTGGACTAGTGCTTCTAGATGAGCTATCAGGTCGATCTCAAATACTCCAGATGGTAGTTTATTAACCTTTTAGACTACCAACAAATGACTAACTTCAACCAAGCTTCAGAAGTTAGATTTTTTACAAACTTGAAGCAAAGGAACACATAATGGACATTAAATTTAGCTGCTAGCTTCACCCGGGCATTGTTTTCTTCATTAAGATCCTTGCTAAACATTTGACCTGCCGTCTGTGATGTCTGCTAGCATTAGTATCTGTCCAATCTCAGTCTTCAGACTATGGGGTTCCAACAGCTGGGGTTTCTCAGCATCCCACAGGGCACAACAAGATTATATTGACAAGTTGTTTGTGTCATCTTAAACACTCTGGGAGATCGTCTTATTTTAGAAAGCTGAATCATCCAAGTAGAGCAGTTTTGGCTGTTTCCTCAAGATATGCTGGTTTGTCAATACACATTGCTTTTCGGATTTGTGTATTTTGTTATTTTGGCATGAGATTTTGAATTATAATTTAATACCTTTTTTCCTCTCTGTATCATTTGAGAATGTATTAAGTTGTCTTCTGTCACTTTCAGATACCAGCTCAACAAAATGGTGGTGGACACAAACTCTGGTCCCTATGGCAACCAGACAGTCCTCTTTCTGGGTTCCAGCCGAGGGACCATCCTTAAATTCCTCGTCACCCCCAACAGGGATAACACAGTGACCAACAACAATGTGTTCCTCGAGGAACTGGAAGGCTACAACCCAGACAGGTAGAGGTTAATGCTAAAAACACGCTCTTTAGTGATTGTTTTACGGCAGAGAATCACAAGTCATGGCATGTAAACAGATGGAGCATTAGCTGGTCATTATCTCTTG